ATATATATATATACGTATATATGTACATATATATATATATGAGCATGCGTACATAAGTATATGCATACATATAAATATAAATAAATACATACATACATGCATATATACACGCATAAATCAATATATTTTCATAATGCATTCTTTTCTAACCGAGGCTGGAGCGCGCCAGGCGAGCTGGTGCGATTACCAAACTTATACTAATTAGGTTAACTGCCTGAACGGTTGTTTCTTCACACCTACCTTGTGCGCTAATACCTTAAATCATCGTGAATTTTGCATAAAAGGAAATAAACCATTTCCATTTAGCGGTCGTTCTTATTTGAAAATAACTAAGCTGCTCAGTGAGTAATTTCCTCGCTAAAAATTTAATTGCCTGTACACGACAACCGCACATGCGTGGGGCTGAATTTGATAGCTTTAAGTCACACATGGGCTGAGAACATCCCTGAAAATTTCAGCCTCCCAGCTTTCCTAGTTGCCGAATTACCCATTTTCCCACCAAAAAAGTCTCACTGGGCCGTGCGTGAGAACTACTTACGACTGGGGGCTGAATTTGACAACTTTAAGTCGTATGTGGGCTGGGAACATTTCCTGAAAATTTCAGCCTCCCAGCTTCATTAGTTCCCGACTTAGCCATTTTCCCGTCAAGAAATTTCAGGGGGCTGTATGCGAGAACCACGTACGCCTTGGGGCTGAATTTGAAAATTTTGAGTTGTGTTTGGACGGGGTACACAACCTCAAATTTTCAGCTTTCTATCTTTTCCGGAGTTATCAATCATCCCGCCAAAACTTTCACCCCCTCGTACGCGGGACCCAGACTTGCTTGAGGGTTGGTACCGCGGTTCTGGGGTGGCGCTTGGCCGGGAACCTACTAGCAAAATCTTGGCGTTGGAACTTGCTTGGTTGTCGAATTGAAATACCCGGACAGACACACACACACATACACACACACGTACACACATACACACAGAAAGAGTCGTTTCCGTATGCCTTTTTGCAATTTGAATATGGGCAAAAACGCGTAAAATCGTGTAAAGCCTATTGCTAAAACGTGATCTTCTGGTTTTCTGATGATGGAAGCTCGGATTATTTCAAAAGAATTTCGAGTCGTTCTGGCTCGTGC